CATTTTGACAGTGATTAAGTCAAACGATTATCTTGAAAGGTTGTTTTACAGTATTTCCCAAATGAAACCACAAATTTCAGCCTGGTGGCTCGAGGAAATATGTCAGGGGATCATCACAAAGATGCATGCCTGCAACAGGGGTTGTTGTAACTCCTCCAGTAAATGCTGAGATAGTTCAGTTTGGTGTAAAGCATCAGAGTTCTGACACTAGCATCCCAAGAGCCATGTGGCTATAATGGCTACCAATCCACTGAAATGCTTTTCTCAGTCATGTAATGTCAGTCCAGTGTTCGTAGACTGGCATCCAGCTTTAACTCGCGCTCAGCTGCAGACTGAGTGGGTAAATGTTGAGTTCGAGAGAGAGACGATTCAGCTTTCAGAGAAGGTCAAGCTGTGAGTGAGGAGCACTCAGAGTCATTGTCACTGACAAAGAGTGCAGCCTCATATGTTCACGTGTGTGTGTGTGTGTGTGTGTGTGTGTGCTGCTTGAGTGTAGTAACACCATGGCCATCTGAAGCGTGAAAAAAGGCTCAGAGCTGTGAGTTCTGCTCAAGCAGAAAGACAAGAGGGCGAGAGGAGGAGGGGAGGAGGGGAGGAAAGCATCAACGGTTGAAGATATCGGTGGAGGGACGATTAGGAGAATCAATGATACCAAGGAACGAAAGAGGATGGCAAAAACAGAAGAAACTGGTGCTTTTTTTGCACTTTGGTCCAAAGAGTATGTTTTCTCTCCATCTGCAATAAGGCACATAGCATGGGCCTCTTTTATAGTGAGGATATAGAAAACAGATAAGTAACGAGGGATTCACTCCATGGAAAAAATCAGAAATTCACCAATGCAAATAATTGCTGTTTTTTTCCTGATTTAGTAAAGAGAATTAGAAATCTTCAGGTTCTGGACTGTTCACCAGCTAAAGCTGAACAATTTAGAGACTCCTCATTGGGCTTATCCCCCGCAATTAAAAATTACAGATAGCTTAGAAAGACTCATACCTTCCTATGTAAACAAGTAATTTGCAGTTTTTCATCACATCCATTATTTTTAACAATGCAGTGTTTTTGTCATGAAACCTGAGCTTAGTTTAGACTTGCGCGTTGCGTTTATAAGCCCAGGTGAGTGGCCAATTCCATGCAACAGTTGTTGTTGGGTTGAGGTTAAGGCATTTCCAGTTTCAAGACAACTTATACTATCAAAAAAGGATTCTTCATCCTCAGACCCTTTTATTTTATTAAACTCATCAAACCCTCTACACCGATAAACATGGAGCATTCGTTTGAATACAATCCAACTGCAATATATAAGATAAAAGGTTTATTTATTCAAATAATTAACCAGTGAGGAAAATATGCTTGGTATAAACTGAATGTGTACTATAAATATATGAATTTCATTTGACCACATTTTATTAAATGTAACATTTTACATTGTACTTTTGCAGCAAAATGACACAAAAGGACAGTTTACATGTAATTACATTTATTTGGACTGTAGACAAAAGAGGCAAGTTGGGCATCACAAAAACCAGTGTTATTCATTTTAATACATTTGAACCAAAGAAAATCTAGCCTTCGCTTGGCTTTGATTAGTATCATCAAGGCATTGGATACCCCTACCTGAAGTATCTCCTGTATTTATTGTTTAAGGGGTTTCAGCCAGATATCTCTTTTGGAAATCTCCCACAGTTTTCCATAAAGGAAAGGCTGGAAGCAACAACAAACAGCTTTCCTGGCTTAAACCAGCGGGATCTTCTAAGGCAGGGATGTCAAACTCATTTTACATCAGGGGCCACACAGAGCTCACATTGATCTTACGTTGGATGGACCAGTGAAACTTCATTACTTTAGTGTAGTATGGGGGGGGAAATCATTATTGATAGGAAAAGCTGTAAAACTTATGAAAGCTTAAAATCTATAAGCACTCATTCACATTTTCCAAAGCTGTCTGGTGGGTCTTTGCAAGGCTGACTCTGACCTTATGTTTGACACCACTGCTCTAAGGCTTTAACTTAAACAACCAGGCCAGAAAGGAATAATCTGAAATAATACAATGAGATGAAAACCCCATGGTACTTTTCAAATTCGCAGAAGTGGTGTTTAAACTGTCAACAAGGGCTGGTGGCACACTCAGTCTCATTAGTGCTCACTTAACCACCAATCAGCTTTTCATCTCAGCCTATAAACAGACCGGCCATATGGTTACTATAGACCAGACGCATAATTATACATGTGACAAGAACCTATATAATATATGTCAGACAGAAAAATTAGAACCTGCTGACGTTCCAGCAACAATAAAAGTACTGATTGTGATACTTTGATGATTCACTGTATCTAACTATAATTTTGTGTCGTGGTGCAGATGATTGCATCTAATGCTTCCTTTTCTTCTAGTTGAAATAGATTTCCGTACACAGACACTATAAACAAATTCAAATTTAAATAAAACATATGCCTACAATTTAAATATGCATAATCACACACGCACATAAAGCAGAGGATATAATTGTTTCCAAGCAGCTCTTTGATGGCTGAGTCACTGAACATATCCTGTATTATATCACGATAAGAAGAACATCAGTTTAAAGGCAGCAGCTGTTTCCCTTTCATCCTCTCCCCCTCTTTTTTCTTTCTGCATCTCTCCATCCTCCCACTGCTTTCACAATGGTATGCTAAGCCAGGGAAGATAGGGCAAATCCCTCCTCTGAGCAGAGCAGGCTGGAGAGAAAGGAACAGAGCGAGAGGCTGAAGGAAGAAAGAGGACCGAGTGCAGAAGCACTCCTCTCTCATCTCTCCTTTCTCTGCCTTCATTTATCTGAGTCCAACCAATCAGCTTGCAGTCCAGCACTGTGTGTCGGTGCACGGCTGTCCCCTGCCATCAACCTGTGGCGATGATGTCACAGGCCCTGCTTCCTAAGCCATACTTGTTTCCTCAGTTCTTGGTTCCTCACCTCCTTCCTATTTACATCATTGCTGTTAGTGCTGCAGAACTAGTTTCAATTTTTTTTTTTTAAAGATTAGCTGAACCCTAAACATGAAACTGCAGTCACCAGCCAGTGAGCCTGTACATCCACACATTTTCTTAACAGCTTTTCCAATTCAGGAAAAGCTGTCACAGGCCCAGAGGCAGGAAACACCCTGCTCACCGGTATATCACAGAGCTAATACAGGGAATCCTGGCGAACCCAGGACCATGCAAACACGGGGAAAGGAGGGGAAGGACAGGGCAATGGACTTTTTCACCAGAATGGAATTTCTAAGACAATCCTGGGCATTTAGAGGATGTCTGAGGAATGAAGGTGTACTGGTACTCATTTTCAAAAAGAAGGGTGACGTGTAGAGTTGTACAGAGGGCTAAAGCTAATGAGATTCATGGGAAAGAGTTTCTGAAACTAGATTTAGATGATGGGTCACGATCAGTGAACAGAAATGTGGCTTCAGGCTGAAAAAGAGCACTACAGATGTGATGCTTTCTGTAACAGTGTTGATGGAGAAGAAGGAGCTCCACTATGGGAGACAGAGGGACATCGCAGGGTGAGCGGTTTGGAGATGAAGTTAAAGAGTGCAAAGAGGATAGTGGATGCACTGAAGAAGAGATATTGAATATGGAGCTGTCAGGCCAAAAACACCTTAAAATTTACATCTACTAAAAACACGGGGCAAAAAAAGAAGCATGTTTTACTTTGACTGTTGCTTCAAATGAGTCAAAACTGAACCTTTTAGACTGACTTCATACTGCACCATACTAAAATTCAGCCAACAGGAAAGCATCATAAATGATGCTTTGTGTCCCTCTAGTGGATTATTTATACTGTACACTAACCCAACGGTGCCTGATGTGTAGTCTTACTTGATATAAATAATGTAATTTTTTTCCATCCTCTGTGTTACTTCCTTGTTTTTGTTTTTTGTCGTTTGTTTATTTCTTTATTTTTGTTTAATGGAGATATTGGTTATGTTGAAAGGGGACCTAATTTACAGAAAAGAAGAAGAAGAAGGAAGAAAGGAAAAACAACTAAAAAGAAGGTAGGAAAAAAAGAATTGGACAAGTGATCGTGCAATTTTCTGCCACTGACACTCCCTTAGGCCAAAAACAGGTGAACTACTGTAAGGAAGCAACGTGCTGCCTTCAAGTGACAAGGCAAAAACAGCCCTTCAACGCTAAGAAACAACAAGAACACGGACTCACCCTTTAATGTATGGACGCTTGTTCATGCCACAAGCCAACAAACAAATACATTTTAAAAAGTTCAAATGTTGGTTTATTATCTCAAATTTCAGAAAAAATAACTAGAAATTAAGAAAATAACTCGAGATTTTAAGTTATCAAATCAAATATTTTGGATGGCAAAACTAGTTGAGAAAGACACGACAGACCCAAATAAATGACAAGTGGTCATAGGAGCGTTTAAAAAAAAAAGACAAATCTTAAATTCTAACCTCAAGACACTGTCTCACTCAGCCTACTATTATTTTATTAAATTACAACGTTATGGTATAACCAATCTTCATCAGCTACAAAACATAGTTATGATTAGACATGATGTAGCAGGCTTAAATTCTCGCTGTCCTCACTAAGAATTGTGCCAGGATATTTCACGGCAAAGATTTTACAGATAATATTATAATTAAAGAAATGTTTAATTATTTAACAACAAAACATGACATTGGTGAAATTACATATGCACTGGTTAGAATAACTACATTCTGCAAAGAGTGATTTGATGTGTTTTTTTTTCTTTTCTTTTTTTTTTTAAATGCCTTTCTTAACGATTTAACGGACGAAACGAAGAGTTTGCTGCACTATTTCTCCCCTCGTTGCTATCTGCGCAGTTAGAAGCGTTTTATTTGGATGCGTTGAAAGCGTTAGGAAAATGTGCGATTTGTTAGCTCTATAATCACCACGCACGGCTGAATGAGCTGCCGTAAAGTTGGAGGCTCGGAAGTTGCGGGGTGTCACGTGAACGCGGCATCAGCTGGAGCGTGCCCTGTGCTGACGAGCCGTTGCTGGTGGAAACAGCTGGTGGTTTCTGTCAGCGAACTCCTCGAGATCGAGAGCAACGTTATTGCGAATAAAAGTTCAAAATAGACTCGAAACCGACTGAAGGCGCTCTTATTTGAATTTCTGCGGCTGTCAGAGCAGACGTCGGGTCATGTCATCCCGTAAAAGCCACTTTTTGTGAGGCACTTGTTAATTGACGCTTCAGTCTGTTAGCACTGAACCGCTATCGCTCGGTGCACCGGCTGCTAACATCAGCTAGCTAACTTTGTAGTCCCATAGCAACTGGCACAGTGCAGGCTTCCTGGCATCGCAGAAAAGCTGTCAGCTGTCGGTTTTTAGTCAACTTTGGACTGAGGGAGGTTTTTTTTCTCATCATGCCTCACATTCATTATAAATTCTCCTCCAGACTCAGCTACGACACGGTGGTTTTTGATGGCGTGCACATCACGCTGAATGAGCTGAAGAGGCAGATCATGGGCAGGGAGAAGCTCCGAGCCGGGGACTGCGACCTGCAGATCATAAACGCGCAGACCAAAGAAGGTAATAAAACATGAGTGTGCACTGATAACGAGCTTGTTTAAACTGAAGTCAACGTCTTCAACTTTGTCGGAAAGCGCGTGGTCCTGCTATCGCAGCTGTTTGGAGACAGAGGTAAGCGTTGCGTCACCTCTTTCAGGTTAAACAGGGCAGGGAGTGGGGGGTCCAGAAAAGTCAAGCTAGGACAAAAGGGCCTAATGAATGGGCCACATTCCTGCCGCTTTTACGCCTCATGCTTTTAATCGTGAGGCCTGACGGTGGTGGTGGGTGAGCCCTGTCAGTGCATGTGCAAGTCTCTGGGGAAGCCTGAGTTAAAAATAGCAAAGGTGGAACAGGAGCACCTCTTTATTCATTACCATATGCTTAAGAGCTCCCAGATGCACATGCACATGAATGAGTTATTAGAGTATTTGCTGTTATATACTGTGGCATGAACAAAAGTAATGGAGCAGGTTTGTTGTGAATATTGCACATAAGGGTGATACAAGTTCATTGGGCTGTTTGGCTATTGTGGGGCGGCTGTGGCTCAGGTAACAGAGCATGTCATCAAGCAATCAGAAGCTTTTCATGAAGTTATGAGGGCTCAATGCTGGAAAAGGACAGAAAATAAAAATGTGTTTAATAAATTATTTTTAATTTATATCAACTTCTTGGGTGGACTTTGTCTTTGTCACAACACCTCAAGCCAGTTTGGATGGGATACTGACCCAGGACCGTATTCTCCAGTTCACCTGCTCCTGGTGGGTGGAGGCGTTTGGAATTATGGGTAGTTTTTTAGTTTTGTTTGTCTTTGTTTTTTTTTAAAGGGTATCTTTTGTGGTGGTGTGGTGGTAGTATGATAAATGAAAATCTTTGGATTATGGTGTTTTGGTCAGACAAAATGTCACCTGGGGAAGCTGACTGTTGAGACAGACATTTTTCACAAATGGATAAATCTATCTTTGTTGCAATCCCAGCACTTTACATTAGACTTTACATTATTACCTATTGGGCTTGTCAGTCAAGTTGAGACCTAATCTTATGCTCTTTATCTTCTTTCTTTTTGTAAGATTCCAGTTAAGATTCTTTCTGGTGAGCTAATCATTACTCTTAAAGCCTCACTATCTTCATCTCTCCCTCTCAGAGTACACTGACAGTGGCAGTCTGATCCCCAAAGGTTCATCTGTCATCATCAGAAGGATCCCCAGCTCGAGCAGCAAGACCCACAACAAGTAAGTCTATATTTTTGGAGTTGCCATCTGATTTCCTGCACTGTTATTAGTCCCTGCCATAGCAAAGGCTCCAGCCTGCCTCAGCAAGCTACAACCTGGAATCCAAAGCTTTACCTACAGTTTTGAGGTTTCACTGCAAGAGGACTTATCAAGAGCCAGGGGTAGCAGTGGATACTAGCTAAATATTCAGTTAAGCTAATAAGAGTCTACCTTGACCCCAAAAAATCAACCCCCCAAAAAACAACAATTTTAATAAGAAAAATAATCTTAATTTGCTGTATTTTGTCATTGACTGTAAAGCTTTTGCTGTGGTTCATGAAAAGCACTGGTTTGCAGGTAGAGGCCATTTCAGTTTTGAGGATTTTGCATGACATGACCATGAGAAAATGCTCTGAGGAAACTACATGGTGACAAACTCAGTGGTTACCCAAATCACTGGTCAGGCTTATGCAGTAGAACCAGCAGTGTTGGGGGTTTTATGCTTGGAAAGCAGGACCTCGCTGGAACAGACTGGCGGTCATGTGACTAGCCGTGTCAGCACCCTACAGACTGGTGAGAGGAATTAGGGCTAATTGGTGGCGTAACACTGCCAACAAGATTAAAAGCAGAAAATGAGCTCTTCTAAAAAGAGCTTGGACACTTTTTAAAATGTAAATAAAAACAGACTGCAGTGATCATTCATACCTTGTTTTTATTAAACATTGTTCAAACAAATATAAAGTGTATCTAATTTAGAAAATATTCTGTAATGAAAGGCGTGCTATGCTTTGGCCAATAGTTAGATATACAAAAAAAATTAGGATTTTGTCACCTTCTGTAATTAATGTAATTAAAAGATTTTTCTAATCTAGCAAAATCTCTAGACGAGGGAGTGGAACTGACTGCATGTGCTCAAGAAAACTATTGTTGGGCATGTGGTTCATTGCTGCATGTACAAATGCAGGTTAATAGTTCCCAGAGACTTAAAAAATGTCCCAGTTCTAACTTTGTGTGAACATTTTGTTGTTAATTCAATATGATGATGTTTTCAAACAAAATAATTGTCAATGTTGACATCTTTCAATTAAATTTCAATTTGGTTTTATTTATATAGCGCCATATCACAACAGTTGCCTCAAGGCGCTTATTCATTTCTTATAAGATTTTGGCAAGTGTTATCTTTTCTGTATATTTTACTTCCCAGGAGCCAGACTTTTATTTATTTATTTAATTTAAAGTTGTGTTCAGCAATAGTTCTCAAGGCTTTCTGAAAGTCTTTCAATGCTTTTCTTTGGACATTGGCTGCTTTTTTACTCATTTTCAGTCCAGGCCTCATCCTTGATCATTCTTAGAGGTGTGGTTTTTCTTTGGTAAGCCCCTTAATGCTGACCTATGAATCATTCAAGCTTAAAAATGCACAGAACTCAAGGGATGATTCAGTGTTGTCTACACATAAGACGACTTGGGAAAATAATCATTTGAACCAAATAGAAATAAGTTGTATCTTTAGACACTTTTTCTGCATGTTGTTACATTTTACACAGCATCCAAATTTTGGAGGAATGGGGGTTCATAGAAGTTTAACAATATCAGTTTAGCTTTCCGCCCATGAGATCCACACCAAGGATTTAGTCCACATATCAGGAAGAACCCTGAACCATGAGGTGATTCACTGTTTTCTGTTCCATCAGATCTAAACAACACAAGAACTGAACTTCAGACTCTCTGTGCCTTTGTATTAGCTCTTCTGATGCACTCTTCTGAGTGTGTTAATGCTCCCAATGTGTCTCTCAGAGACAGAAAATATTCAGCCTTTTCAGTTTTGCCAGTTGTTCACATGGGCACCTGTGAAGAACTGGCAAAACTGAAAAGGCTGAATATTTTCAGGTGCCCATGTGAACAACTGGCTTTGCTGGCATTTTAGAAATTGCCCTTTTCGTTGTGTGGACATCAAGAACTGCCTTCCTGGGGTATTTCCAATGTAATCACAGGGGACAAACTCTGCATTCCTGCTCTGTTTGTTTTTAGGCCAATGTGGAGCTTCAGCAGTGTGAGTAGGCAAATCAAGTAGGCAGCTTTCAGGGTTGTTGTTCTTGATATATAAAATTATGTCTGTGTGCTACTGTCCCTGCTGTGCACCTCGGCAGGGAATGCTCTGTATGGAAAAACACAGAAATCTTATTTTAAGGTCACTGCGGGAAGATATCTTCTTGATCTGTTTAATGCACGCTGCTGTAACCTGATTTGCCTGCTTTGTCTGCACTTTTCTGAACAAAAGAAAGCACTCCGTTGTAGATTTCATTATCCATCACTTTCACTGAAGCAGCTTTTAAAAGTGCTCTTTAATTCACATCAAAGACTGTTTGGATATAGACAACTGACTTCCGTCAGGGAAAAAAAAAATCTGTGCCTCACACCGTCGTAGAGGAGGTTTAAAAATGTTTTTTTGTTGTTTTTCAGTGAGCGATCAGAGGTCCAGCTTTACCACGCCTTTGGAGCCAGCAGAGCAGTATGTAGCCAAACCACATCCCACAGCACTTTGCCTTCAGCTC